ATCTTCTTCGCCGTTTGAGCACTGCTTATCTTTAGTTCTTTTGGAGAATCAGTAGAAAATGATCGAGAAGTGGTCAGTTTCTAACAGTTTAAGATCCATGAGTGATTGACTGAAGCGGAAGGGCAACGGTGGTGTGACACCGTCCTTTTTTTTACTAGGAAAAATCTGAAGTTCGTCATAAATCTTACATTCAGAGAATGTAAAAATGTGAAAGTCAGAAAACCAGGAAAGTAATTGGACACTCCGTTCCACTATCATTGAAATTTAAAAATTGTGCAGGAAAAATCTGGCGGGTAAAGTGCCGGAAGGGAATAATGAAAATTCTTCCCTTCTGACACTGATACTGTAGTCTTCTTTTTTTTATTGTTCATCTACTTCATTCATACTTCGAATGCTCTTCTGTGCTTGGTTTCTCTAGTTTTTCGATTTAAGAAATATCTATTTGATTTTTACTTTCAGCATTAAAAAATAAATTTCATTTTCATCTGAAATGTATCCTTCAGTATGTGTTTCTCGTGATGTGAAGCTTTTCTCTTGGTTTTTTTTCATCAGTGCTAATTCCATATAACAATGTAAAATCATGCTGGGCTCATATAAGATGCAGCAACAACTTATTCTGATTATAGCTGATGGTCTTGAATTTTTTTCTATTCAATGTTAAATTGTGTTTTGGGTTTACAAAACGAATTAAATTCTTCCCCATTGAAGTCCATGGAAAAATCAAATTCAGTTAAACTTCTGTCCAAAACCAATCAAGTTCCAAGGGTCCACTGTACTACCCCACCCCACGGTTAACTTTCCATTACGCCTATGCTGACCTACGGTAAGTCAAGTTTCTCGAGAAAAAAAAAAAAGAATCACTCACAAGGTGAACTTTTCGTCAAAATGAGGCTCGCAGGTGTTCCTCACGATCTCCGTCTTCTTGGCACTTTCTCCGTCGACCGTGATTTCCACGTAACAGTTGGGCTTGAGGATAGAAGAGTGCTGAAGACTGGCTTTGACGACGGTGACTTTGAGCTGGTGCCAGTGAGTCACTTTCGACGGCGGGCCCGTCGATGCGCTCGGCCCTGCACCCGTCGACTGCTGGGCGTCCATTCCCACCTCGCACTGGATTCCGCACAAAAAAAGTGAATCCCCCCTTCCGAGTTTCGTCACATGACTAACGGATTAACGCGTAATTTCCCATCCTGGAACGAGTCNCCATGGAGAACTTCGGGATCATTTAGATCTCGCCCTCATCTTCCTCCTTTTGCGCTTCAATCTTCGCATACGCTTCTTCCTCCACTTTGCTCGCATTTCACTCCAACCCGCGAAACAAAATCGCGGTTTTTCGATGAATTGTCTGCAACGCATTAAACAAATGCTGAAATAAATCCGCATTTTGGAAAGGAATGCGAAGATTAAACAAACAAGAAACGTTTCAAGTCCACGGATTTCTGTATTTCGTCAACAAAAACGGATCCAGTTCGGGTCGTCTTCGCAGTCAGGCGCCAAAATCCGTGGAGATCTTCGGTGCTACTTGGATCTCGCCCTCATCTTCCTCCTTTTGCGCTTCAGTCTTCGCATACGCTTCTTTCTCCACTTTGCTCTCATGTCTCGCACTCAACACTCACTCTCAACTCGAGAATTTCTTTGTTCTTCTGAAATTTGGAGAGACAAATTAGGAATACGAACAGCACTTTGCAGAAGATGAAATTATTCAGAGAAAAACACGACAGACACACTTTCCCAGATGTATTTCGGTCTCGAAAGTCAAGTGACGTTTCTGAAAGAAGCAAAAATGAAAACGCTGTTTTACTAAGCTTCATCAACGTTGAATTCATGACTTTTTATCGAGGTTCTCCCCTCGGTGGCCGGATGACTTGAGCCTACTGATAAAGATATAACGGAATCGCAACTGCGATTTCGCCATATCCTGGATGGGAGGCCAACCCCAACCGAAACTCCGAAGGCTTCTCGTTTTTACTAACGTTTATCCTGAGTTCAAAGAGAAGCCTTCGAAGCCCATTAAACTCACCATCATCACTCTTCCGGAACATCCATTTCGTCTGCGTTAATGGCGTCTATTACGTCATGCGGAGGTTTCCCATCCACCGTACATCCAACGGACTATAGTTAAATGAATTAAATTTTCAATCATTGACGGAATTTCATTGAACATTCGAGATCAGTACAACCTGGCAAGTTCCGAGGATTTCCTTGCAAGTGCCGGACAGCTTCCGTGCCATGCTTCTTTCTCGCATCTCTCGAGCGATGCTGATAATATCTTCGAAAGACAGGTTCCCGCTGTGCTTGACTGCGAGAATAGGGAGATGTTAACGCAGGCAAAATACAATTAGGAAGAGATAGATAGCTTACTGTTCTTCACTTTCTTCCGATCACGAGGCGGCTCCTTCAGGGCACGAAGGATCAACGAAGATGCTGAAGGTACTATGGAAACGGCGGCCTGGCGATTCTGGATCGTCAGCTTCACGGTGATTCGCAAGCCTTTCCATTCCTGGGTTGCTTTCGCGATATCCTCACCGACTTTCTTTGGCGACTTGAATATGAAAATAAAAATGCAATGAGTGAAAATGTAAACCACTTTTCAGCTTCAGGATACGAACCAGACCCAATGGACCGATTTTCGGGGCGAGAGTTGCAGTTGCTCCCACTTCTCCTCCGGTGGCTCGGAGATAGACTATGAAAGGAAAGTGATCGCTCAAGTATTGCACGTCACATGCAACAATTCAAGGCTTACCGATTTTAACTTCAGTCGGATCGATCTTCGGAGGCATGATTATCCGACAGTTTAAAACTGAGCACACGAATCACAACTCACTATTGCCTGAAACGGAAATTTAGACAGAACTTTAGGAATTCACCTCGTTGCATCAACCGTGAATACAAAGTGAGCAGTTCACGTATGCGTTAAGTTCATGGAAAACATAACTCTCAGTCCACGCTCAAATCTAAGCAATCGAAACTCGACCATTACTCACAATACAACTACAGTATAGTATTGCGTCCCAAGCCACGAATCCCCAAGAAACTCAAAAATCCAGCATCAAATTCCAAGTTCAGCCAACTCAACTGAACTTGTTCTAATACTAGCGCACTGCCGTGTGTCCGAAAGATGGCGCTACAGTTCCTAACCGCAGTTGCCACTCGCCACTATCTGGACAGACCAAGTTCATTCTATCCAACTCCGTAGTTGATCCCTCATTCGAGCCTAAATAATTCGCACTCATTAATATTTCATAGATTAAATGTTCCATACACATATAATGACTCTAAAATAATCAAGAAGCTTTGAGAGTAAATGAATGAGCTCGCGATGCCATTTCATCCAGGTTGGAAGCTTTTAGCGACACCTACTCTCATACCTGTTTGCAGAGTTTCCAATGGATACTAGCTGTCAGTAAAAGCATTGCATCATACAGTATTGTACAATGTAATGTTTCTCAATATACTGTACATATTATTGAGAGTGTCCAAGCGTTCAAAGCATGCAGGTTTCCTCATCATCCCTGACTTGGAAATCAGCACATTTTGCTATATCCTCAACGTTTTGAAATACTGTATGTATTTGCATCATGCATTGATTGTACCAAACATGTATATATTTTTTTAAATGTATACATTATTATATAGTGCTTTATGCATGTGTTCACGCATAAATAGCACTGCTGTTTATCAATATACTGTATACTGTACTATCACCATCATGCACCAGAAAGCTATGCATATGCATACATACTCAAAGAATCATGCATGTATAACTTGATATAATTGAGCTGGCTAATAAGGAGATACTGCAGTATTATATTCAGCATAGAATAATACCTTCTTCAACATGAGTCAGACCCATCAGTCATCAGCTATACATTATTTCTGAGTTCTATGAGAAACTTCACCTTGAAACCCACCAGGTTGCTTATTTCCCTGCTGGTGAGTAACATAGACATAAACACCCCAAATATACTCTCCTTAATAATAAGTTCAAATAAGACACAACAAAAAAACCAAAAGGGATACTTTTCCCCCAGGTTCAATAAATACTATAAGACTCTAATCTTACAATCAATATGTGTAGTAATAGTAGAAACCAGAAAATAAACTTTGTATCATGCCTGGGTAATAACAGATGAGGCTAAGAATACAGCATGAGAAAGAGGTTCATTCACTGCATGTGACACACAACAGCAAGTTCCTGGAAAGTTTCTTGGCAGCAGAGCCAAAACATTCCAGAGGGGAAGAAACCTTTTTTGTTTGTTTATCTCCTCTGCTGTTTTCAAGTCTCATATTTATCATATACACCTTTATTTTTTCCAGTGTAATTGTTTTTGTGATTTATCTTGTTTTGTTTTGCTCCTTTACTATTGATGAAGAATAAATATTCATCAAAATATCGAGAATAAGCTGTTCATGCATGAGGTTAATAATATGCACATTGTAAATAAATAAATACTGTACACTCCCAAATGATTTCCACCATCAGCAGTCACCTAAAAATGTTAAAAATCTAAACATGCAGAAAATAATTGAAACAAAGAAAACAATTGAAACAAAGATACAGCATTCACAATTAAAGTTTTATCCACAACTGATGAAAATTATTAATTTTACAGTAGCTTTTGAAGCATTGGTATGGTATATATATATGTCAAACATTATTAAAGGGAGAAGTATTGGTTCAAAGATAGAGGCAAAAGGGAAGCAATATGCGTTTAAAAAAAATGTGTCATGAGATACTCAAGTAAAAAAAAAAAATCCATGTGGTAGACCGGTAAGAATAAAACGAGAAGAAGTTTTTGACGATGACAGTAGGAGGACGAAAGACTTGGACACGGTTTTACGGACTTTTACTTTGAGTGGAGAGGAGGGGTCGTGAGGGGTTTAGCTGCTACACATGACTCTCACTCCCTCATTGTGAAGAGTGATTTTAGCTTTTGACCTCTTGAAAAACTTCAGGAACTTTCTTCTTCAATAATATATCTTCAGGTATTGCAAGTGCAGTATGCATTGCAAAGTTGTAATTTGAAATTTGCCAAATTTATAACATTAATTGAGGAAAAAATAAAAGGTGGGTCAAATGCAATCCTGATTGGAAATAACTTCTCACAAAATTAGCAGACATATTCTTTGAATCATTTCAAAGTTGTAATTTGAAATTTGCCAAATTTATAACATTAATTGAGGAAAAAATAAAAGGTGGGTCAAATGCAATCCTGATTGGAAATAACTTCTCACAAAATTAGCAGACATATTCTTTGAATCATTAACATTTAATCATATATCTTAGAGTTTTAAAGAAGTGCTGCCTGTTTGGAATAAACAATCTAAAAGCTTCTTTATTCCCTGCTGAACATGATACAGCATTCAGTTACTATAATTTTCAACAAATTAACATTTAACAAAAATCACAAGACACAATAAAGATTAGTCAAATGAAAACATGGACACACCTTATTGTTATTTTTTAAATGAAATATTTGCAGCATATTCAAAAACCTTATGTCATTAATCTAATAGAATAATTTATAAAGGGGATTTTGTTGCTGGCATCCTGGTCATGCATCTCAGCAGAATCCAATATAAATTTTTATGAAGAAAACACATTAGATATGTCAATACAAGGAATGCTGATTTTTTTTGTCAACAAGAAAACCATATGCAGTAAATGTAAGAGTCATATGAATGCCTATACCACAGAATGCTGAGTCAAAGACAATAAATCAGAGCAATCTTCAATATATAATATTCAAAATTATAGATGCAGTGTGACATTTATAGTCCCATCACTTCATCCTCATATGCAACAATGAATATCATGAATGAAAACCCAGTTCTCCCAGTTGCTCATTTTCTCAAGGAAACCCTCCCACTTTATAGACCTTAACCTGGGACAGGGACATGATGGGGGCCTCAGTTTAGCCCCCACCTCCTCAGTGTAAAGACGATATATATGGTACACACTCTGATGTACAGTACAGTATACAGGCAAAACCCTCATATTTTATATATACAGTACTGTACACATATATTTTACATACTCTCAATATATATATACATTGTGAGAAGTGGAAGAAGAAGAAGAAAGTGCTATGCTCTCATCTCATCTCAACATCAGTGCTTTTTCTCTTTTCTATTTTTTTTTAAATCGTGACGAAGAAATAAGGCGCAGAAGAAGAAGAAGAAGCTGAAGAGCCACAAATGGCGCTGGTGTTGCTGCCCTGCGACTTGCCCACATGGGCGGCGGTACAAAAGCACTTGAGCCAATTGCGCGCCGCACGATCAGAGCCTCAGGTCGTCGACTGCTTGACCAAAATCCACCAACTGTGCTGGTAAAAAAATAAATAATTTAATTCAAATAATAACACAGCAATATACAAAAGGAAGTGTGCAGCAGTGGCCTCAGACTTTGTCCCTATATATGTCGAATTATTGTCCGCATGTCGGATCTGGTTTTCCCATAGACTTCAATACGAATATATGAAAACTTATTTAATTAATTCTCCTGCTTGTCAAAAATCGGGAATAAGTCTTCTGAAAATTTCAAAAAAAATTGTATCCCTCCATCAGCAACTTAAAGTTAGGGAAAAAACAGTGTACAAGAAAACCACACAGAATCTGATCCTTTGGCATCAAATAAAAGAGGCTCTAAAACCAAAGAAAAATAATGTCTTGCCATAATTTGCACAGCTATAATAATGTGCATGTCATGGCCACTGCTTGTAAGCCAAGAGATGGCGCTACAGAACTTCCCCTGATAGTGCACAGATAATATTAAAAATAAACTCTGACAGAGAAGCACAAAATCAGCTCATTCTTGATTTATGAATTAGAGTAAATACATAATAAAATATATTTTTTCCATTTTTGTGGATATATGTGGGGTCACACTGTAATTCTTTTTTACATTGCAAGATATATATACATTGAGACCCCAAGATGTGGACGTAATTGGTGTATCAACAGTGTCCTTAAGTTGGAATGTCCGTAAGTTGAGTCTCATTTTCCCTTGGACTTATTTGATGCAAATGTATTCAATTGCTTCTCTGTTTTGTCAAAAATTAGAAATAGGTCCTCAAAATTTTAATGAAAATTGCTTTCTCTCAACTTCAAGTTTTAGAAAACAACAGTGCAGGAAAAACTGCATATAGAGAACATGATCTTTCCATCAGCATTTGTGCATAATTTAGCAAGACTTTTTCTTTGCTTTTTTTTATCTCTTTCCCAAAATACAGTAGGTGGGGATAGCAAGTGCAACAAAAACAATTTTGAGCAGGCAAAAAAGTTTTTTTTATACTACTGCACAGAGAAAATCCTTGCAAGACAAGAATAGTTCTATATATAGAGAGTGATTCCCATTTGCACATACTGTATGCACAGTGTGAGTCTTGACCCTGATGAGGATGAGTCAGAGGCCCACAGTTTCGCCATGTTGCAAACATACTTGTCATCTCTGGGAGATGCAGAACAGGCAGAGTTCTATGACACTACATTGCCAACCATAGTGGACTATGCAATGAAGCTCAAGACATTGAAGCCTACTGAGCGCAGTTTGTGCTACAGTTTACAACAGCAATGTAAGTGTGATTATGTGCTGCTGCTGATTGCTCATAGTTTTAAACCACCCACTGTACTTATTATGGTACAGTATCTATATTATGAAGAAGTTACACTCATTACCACAAGCTCAGCCTGCTGTGAATAGATTAGGGCTCATGATTTTATAAATCCTTTTATTTTTGTTGCATACTGTATTTCTATATTCTCACATTTACAAGCTCAGTCAGCAGTTTCAAATATTTGTACCATTTTAGCTTTACCTCTCATAATTATGGCAACCAAGCATAATTTTCCTGCCTTAACTGGAAATATCTGAAGAATCTAAAAAAAAAGATACATTATGATGTAAAATGGCATTTGGTGAAAAAAAATTTGGTTTGAATATGATTGAAATGTTGTGCAAACCAATTACCCAATAAGCTCAATAACCAATGTATCAATTTTTTTTAACAGAAAGTTTCATTTTTTTCTTCAATACAATAAGAACAAATTTTGATTTATTAGAAAATGCTTTTTGGAAAATCTGAGAAAATTACATAAATGTGTAGTGTATAATGAATACACTGAAGAATATTTGGACAATATGTGATGCTGCAAATCAGTTATGAGCTGTCCAAAAGTTGGATTGGATATAAAGGGATGCAAATTTATGCATTAATAAACAATAAGTGTGATTTTTACTGTTTTTGAATCCAAGTCATGTGGTTAGCAACAAAACTTTGCTTCTTCCAAGAAAATCAGGGAATTACAATTTGATCACAATAAAATCAATCTTCAACAGTAACTTACTGCACCTTCTTAATATGCTTCTAATTTTGACTCAATCACTTTTTCAACTTTGGTTCTTCAGCTCATGCTAGGTATTTAATTTTTTTTTAATTCTTTTGCATTTGTGGCACAGAATTGTGCAAATGAATCCCAACAGCACTGCCCATGGGTTATTTTTCACTGCATAAACCCTTGTGCAGCAAAGTCTGGGTATTTTTGTAAAATGATGTGCTACTGAGCACTGGATCTTTTCAAAAATCCAACTCTTGTACCAATAAGGTCTAAGCTGGAGAAAAGTCCAACATGTTTTTATTTCTAAATCCTGCAAAAGAAGTTTTATCGCAAAATATTCGTCCACTGGGGCAGGGGCATTTTTTCTGCATTCTCAGCACATGATTTGCAGGGTGAAAATTCTTTTAAAACAAAATAAAATTTGCCTCCCAGATTTTCCCTGGGTGGCTGGAATAATGTTGTCAGGCCCAACTTCATTAGACTGAAATAATCGTGGTTGCAAATTAAACTGGTTGCAGAATATTGTTGGCAGGAATCACCTTGCCTTTTTGTACATTACTCAAGATGTTTGGACCTTAGGTTTTTTGTTTTGTTTTTTGCTGTATTACGTTGGTCCAGTTGTGAAGTGTGGGAAGATTCTCTCACAAGCTTGTTCCAGGAGACATAGGCTTGACAACAATAATAATCTTGTAGTGGAATGACAACATTATTCCACCAACACTTCTTTCCTGCTTATATTATGCAGGAAAGATATTATGCAGGAAAATGTATACTGTATTATACATTTAATTTTAGTAATATTTTTATTTTAATTTGTTTGATTTTTATGTTATTCATGTATATAGTTTATAAAAATATTAAATTGTGATTTTAAAGATGTCAATAACCTTGAATAATATTGGGAAATTTGAATTTGCTCAAGGGGTTATTCATATTTTCGCCTTTAATTTTTTTGAGATTATTTTCATTATCTTTTTGGCTAATAAATTTGATTCATGAAAATCAAGTACAAAATGACGCCTCTTATTGATGTTCAAGTGATGTACAGCAGTACAGTAATTGATTAACCGCCGCCGGGTGTTTTGTGCTGCCACGGAATGTTCAAGTCATCATCATCCGTGCATATACTGTACTGTACTGTACTGTACTGTACTGCAGGTGGAGCAGTGAGCGTGTCGCGGGGTTTCGGCGCGGCCCTGCTGGCCTGCGGCTTCCTCTCCTGCTTCCCCAAGCGCACGCCCAAGACGCACCCGACGCTCCGGGACTGCAACTTCGCGCCCTTCTTCTCCCGCCTCCACAAGTGAGTTTGTGTACTGTACTGTACTGTATATCATCATCATTATATATATCCTGTGTCTCTAACTGCTGGTATATACAGTTAGATTTTTGTGCTGCACTATGCTGACTCGTATATATGATGGTACACGCACATGTCGGAAGTCCTTCATGTTCAACTATATACGAGGTATAGCTCTCCTCCCTCGCAGCAGCATCATCAGTGTTCCCCAGCAATAACCCGTGTGATGTGTAAATAGGTCTGGCCCGCAGATTTTTATTTTATTTTTTATTTTAATTTTTTTTGCCGGTTTCGCGTGAAATTTTATACTGCATCTTCATCTGAAATACTGCACTGGGAGTATAATAAGACAATCGCAGGTACAACAATTTCATTATATGACGATTAAAAAATGGAAAAAAATTTGGTTTTGTCCTGATGACGCTTCAGACAATAACTTTTCACCCTTTGAAATGAATTATTTTTTAGGATTTTCATTCTGAGAAACCGTTCTGCAAGCCCTCATTTTGTCAAATAATAAGGCATCACAATATTTAACTGCTTATATATAACTGGGTTAATTTTTGAAGAAAATGTTTTCCAGGTCCTTGTAAAATGTATGTTAGCTTATTATAACAAATTTCTAAAAAATATAGTGACAAAGTCTTGTTTGTCTTTATCTGAAATTTTTGAAATATGAGACAATCTCAGTGGAAATTACATGCTGACTTGAAAAAAAAAAGTGGAGTTATTTTTCCTTACAATGCTTCAGACAAATTCTCACCTTTTGAACTGAATTATTTTAATTTTTCATCATGAGAAACCCTTCTTCAAGCCCTAATTTTTTTCAAGGTATCATACCATATAGCTGCTTCACTGGTTAATTTTTGGAAAAAAGCAAATACAAATTTCCATTCCACATAAAATGTAATTAAGCATAAGACAAATTTATCAAAAGTATGCCAATAATGAAGTCTGTCATCTTTACCTAAAATTTTGGAATTGAGACAATTGCAGTTGAAATTATATGATTAAAAAAAGTTGGCTTCTTTCTCCTAATAATGCTTCAGACAAATTCTCACCTCTTGAAAAGAATTATTTCAATTTTTCATTCTGAGATATAGCTGCATTATTGGTGGTTAATGTTTTTCAAAAAAATCAGAAAATGCCTAAATACCTGCCATAAAGTCTTACAAAAAATTTTGAGTCTGAAAAAATGCAATCAAACTTTGCCAGTACAAAGACAATTATTTTTGGAAATTTGCTTGTCTGCAAATTTCCAACTGTTTCATATACAGTTACCTTTTAATTGGCAAACCACTGGGTTAACAAACTTTTGGTTTTGAAGAAAATTTCCTTGGTTGACAAACAAAACATTTGGTTAACAAACTTTTTTCTGCAGAAAAATCCCCAATTTTTAAAATTCAAGATATGATTTCAAGGGTGAAATTTTTGTTACAATCCAGGTGCAAATAATTCACATATGCATTGATATGAAAATTCTTCCATTCTGGTACTCTAATATGTGTAATATATTGTGTTTTAAAATTTATTTCAGCCAAATCATTCATATGTTTACTGTATGCTCTTCTGTGAAAGAATTATTTTCTTTTCTGTGCTTGGTTCCTCTAGTTTTTCAATTGTTAGAAAAATCTATTTGATTTTTAGTTGCAGCATTATCAAAAAATTCATTTCACTTGCCATGTATCCTATACATAGTATGTGTTTCTCAGGATGTGAAGCTTGTTTATCTTTTTTTTATCAGTGCTACTTCCACATGAGTGACACAGTGAAAACATTCTGGGCTTACCTAAGATGAAGCAATGACTAATTTTGATTATAGTTGATGGTCTCAAATTTTTTATATTCAAGGTTTCAATTGTCTTTTGGGTTCACAGAACAGATTAAATTATTCCCCATTGAAATCTGAGGGAAAATTAAATTTGGTTAACAAACTTCTTTCTGAAGCCAATGATTAAGCTTATTAAATAAGGGTACACTGCATAGCAATGAAGTCTGTTATCTTTATCTGGAATTTTGGAGAGGCAGTGGCATTCAAAATTATGCAAAGAAAAATAAAATTGGGCTTTGCTCTTATAATAATGCTTCAGACATCTTGTCACCCAGTGGAATAAATTATTTTAATTATTCATTCTGAGAAACCTTTTTTTTCAAGCCCACCTTTTCTAATTTATTTCAAGACATTCCATTGGTTCTAACCTTAATTTTTGCAAAAGGAAAGCAGAAAATTATTTAAAGCCTATGCCATAAAGATAAAAAAAAAACTTGTTTGAGTCTGCAACATTTTTATGGAACTTTGGTGGTTTGCAGAACATTTTTGGGAAATTGAGTGAAACCTTTTCAGTTACAGCCAAAGTTCTCCATCACCCAAGTCAACTCAAGGTGCTGAAAAATGTCTCAAACTTGCTAAAATCCTTATAAAATTTAATCATTACCTTTTCTAAATTTTAGATAACATTGAAAACAAGACAAAAAATCAATTTCTATAAGCAAGCCTTGCATATTTTAGTTCCTTGTGACATTAGCCAAGAACTCTGGATTTAACTGAAAAGTTTTCACTCATCACGCAGTAAATTGAGAAACTTTTTTAAAAATCAGAAAAAAATATTACAGAGCTTCAGAACATCATGTTTTATATCAGTAATGTTTTTTTTCTCTTTCAAATACATCTATTTTAGAAATGTCAGATGACAATGAGTGACTTGAGTTTCTGTGAATTCCGCGAGTGGACGACGGTGATGATGAGTGATTCAGACCTAATACTTTTGGCAAGTTTGTATATACAGTACATACAATAGAATATTTTGTATTTTTTTCTGTCATCAGCATTCCAAAAACGTCCATATACAATAATCTCATAATAATATCACCTCAATCCCCAATTCGATAATATATGAATATGAAATCTCTTCTACAGTTTATAAGGAATGATATTTAAATTTTAAAAGCAGCACATGGTAAATTTTCCACAGAAAATTAATTCTCACCGGTTTCCTCACGGTATTTTATGCTCACTCTACCATAGACTTATTCAAGAAAGTTCGCAGGAATAAATGAAGCAAAAGAAAGAATCAATTGAGAATTAAAAAAAAAGGGAATAAGGCAAATGCAAAACATTTGACAGGATACAAGGGGGTCTCACATTGGTACTGTGCCCAAATGGGAAATACATTAATCAAGGAGTGACACCTGTCTTGCTCAATGAGACACTTGCAACTGGTATCAAGTGGAGAACCCTTTTGTAATACCTCATTTTATATTTTATTTTTATTTTTGCTACTTTATTATTACAGTTGAACTTCTTTGAGTTGAATTTGAAGGTGGGACTCCAAAAAAAAATTGGCTTCAGGAGTTTTTGAGTTGGGAAATTTACTTGCATTTTTGTGCTGATATTTATTCAATGAAAATCATTTTCCTGCCAAATTATTGCAATGGTTCATTATTCATAGATGTCATAAGCTTGCAGGAAAATGCTGAACTCCTGTTTTTGAGCAATGTTGAAAAAAAACAATTTATATTGTATTTATGGCATTCTGGAGCAGTTTTTTCTGAAATTTGGTCCAAATGTAGAACAAGAGAAGACCTTAGAAATTTAATTGAGCAAGAATGAAACCCAAAATGTCTGAGTAAATTGACCAGGACTACAAAGAAATTCAAATTGAGAAGGTTTTTCACTTCAGAAGGTGTTCAATTTCTTTGCAAATTATTACTGCATTTTTACCATAATAAATCAAACACACAGCTGCTTTCTCAAGAAACTTAACTCTTATACATTCTGATTCTTTCCCTTATTTCTAATTTTAGAAATAAAAACCTCGAATTTCTTGAAACAAGAGCCTGTTCTCCATCATCTCAGTAAAATTAAAATCCAGACCAGAAGAGTTTTTCAGACCTGCAAATAATTGACAGATAACATTTATATCCTGACTTAATTGCTCATAAAAACATGGTCTATTTCCTAAATAATGTAAAAAAAAGCTGCTACATGTTATTTTTTCATCAAAGGTGCATACATATAGAAAAGTATAACAAGACCTTCAATGGCTAATAAATTGCAACCCATTCTCCATGAAATGAAAAAAAACAAAAGCTCCAAAATTTGTTGTAATTTCATTGAAACAAAAATGTAAATAACCAGCACAGAAGACCTAAAAATGCTCTTAAAAAACATGCCATTTGACTTGCTCCATACAAGAGTTTTTTTTTTTTTGCTTATTCCCTCTTAAATAAAAACCAGAATCTATAACTTTATAGGAATGCCAGCACATATGAAAACTATATTTCACCAAGAAAAAATTCAAAGTCTTGACTTTCTTCAACCAGTAATCTCTTTTTCAAAATACAATATATACTGTACAGTAGAATTTATCCTCCAAAAAAATAAAAATATGGTTCCTTGAGGTGTGTCCTTCTCTCTCTCTCTCTCTCTCTCTCTCTCTCTCTCTCTCTTTCCTACAACTGCTCCTGCTGATGGTCAAGAGAGAAGAACCCAAGGGGGGCCCCCCCCCCCCAAATCTCTTGAGGCACTGCCCAACTTTGGACCAGACTTCAAAGCAAGGATTCTTTTCCTTTCTGGGCTCCCAGCATCAGCATTAATCCCATCCCTTTTTTTCCTTTCTTTTTTTCACATAC